TCTAATTAAATCGTTAATTAGCAAGGGTTCTTTGGTGCAGGTGCGGACTTACTGCACTCCCATCCTCTCGGGCTTCATTTCTCCCACACCTCCCCTGCCACCTGGAAGCAGTCCCCTTCACCCTCAATCCTCGGCCACTATGTAAATGAAAAAATTCAGCCCCATGTAAGAGCCCTCTGAAAAATTTTGATAGATATAAGAACAACACCATCCTTACTCTCCCATTGCTAAAATAATAAATCCACTCCTGATTCATGTACTGTACAGCCCCTGTAAAATGTAATTAACGTGATATCATTATTGTTCAAAATCACACGCAAAGTTTGTATTATTTAAGTAGGGGAATTACACAGTGGTTAATCCTGTAAGGTAAGCTGGGTGGTGATTCTTCAGGTGGTCATTCCAAAGACTTAAGTGGTGGAAAAGGTTCTGCTATTGCATTACTACAGTACAGTACATATTGTTGTAGCATTTGAAAGTTTGCTGTATAACCCATGTCCATTAGTTCTAATTTTAACAATGGAGTAAGTGGATGCACATAAAACTTTGTGCTGTATTCCTGGTACAAGATTATTACTTTTTACTTTTAAAAGCTTTTGCCACCTGATCTGCCTGCTAGCCGCTTTGGGCTTATTGGTTATGTATCTGTTAAGCACACTTGTTGCAAAGTACTGGGTATGCACCTCGGCCCTTGTTCCAAATACCTAAACCTGCTCCAGTGTTGGTCAAATCTGGTCTTGAAGCTCTCACACACAGTTCCATCACAAAAACCTCTGCGATTGTTTCACTTCACTCCAAAAAGAGCTCGGCCTCACAGTTTTCTTACCTGGTGGCTTCTTCAACTTAGACAGCATCCCAGAGATCGGGCTGGCTCCAGGTATGTAATTTGGGGGCGTCTTATGCACCTTTATAGGCCTAGATATACGGTAAGTAATATTAGGAGGACAAGTTGCTACCTGGCATTTAATTGCAATTCTCAAAACCCCCTCCTTCACCCCCCCACCATATGCATCAAGACCTTCATCACAAATTCCAGTACTTTTTACAAATCTGGTAATTTGAAGGCAGAATAAGGTAGAGGACACTTTATTACTATACTATTACTATTTACACTACCAATAATTATTATTACTGCTCCAGTAAATCGATCGTGATACTAGACATGTGCTTGGGGGTTGGAGGTAGAAACACATGAAGTAAGTCAAGACCAAAGATGAGATTCCTACATTGCAAAAGCTGAGAAGCTACTGAGAAGAGAATGGGAGGCTTGCTTGCATGTGTGAGTGAAAGATAAATACCTACTTGGCAACAAAATTTAACCAGGCCCGCCATTTTTATTCAAATAGGCCAGCAAAAGATCAAAACATCACATTATATGGCATGAAGCTCTACAGACACATGTCAATGACCTTATTCAAATTCTATGGACACAAATCATTTGACATAACCCGAAGCCTAGGGGTTAAGAGAAACTTTATGACATGACAGCTGGAACAGGCAACTCATGTACAGTAGTACAACACCAATCCTTGTACAGTACTATACTTTCAACTATGCCATACTGTATTACTAAGTTGTGAAACATATGAATATTTTTTTAATAAAATGTGCTTAGAAGAAATAATTAAGGGAGGATGAGTTTCTACCTGTATACTACTGTACAATATCCATTACCATACAAGATGTACATTTTGATAATAAAAAAGGGGAGGGAGGGACCTTCCCATTAATTGTATTCCTTCCAAAAATGAACAGGGCTTTCATGAATTAGTCCAATATTGGGAGGGTTTACTGTAATTTTTTTTGAAAAATTTAATTTATAAATTGGCTATCTATTTGTTACATCAAATTTTCAAATATGGTAATGTGTAAATTTAAAATTGCCATTTTTTAAGAAATTGTAAGCACTCTGTTCAATTTTAACTCAGAGTAAGATAGGAGTGGTTGTATAAGTTATATAACAATCTCATTTAGCCTAAACCAATCCAAACTTCCTGAATATATCAAATCAAACTTAAAAAAATAAAAAAGAACTCTAAGCAGACATAACTCAATCTATTATATCCTAACCAAATGAATCTTAACCCTTTAGTGGCCTTGGGTTTCTATTAGCTAAATAAAGTCATCTTGTATTAGCCAGACTAAAATGCCTAAGGGCTACACTGACCTCTAAATAGTTAACTGAGATAGGTTTTAACTTTGCCAAATCTAATCTAAAATACCTCAAAATGCCTGTATTCTTATGAATGAAAACTACTAAAACCATTTTAAATCACATGCAACACATGTTTTCTCTTACTAGGATAAAAAAAACTTACATTTAGAAGCATTTTTGGAAGATCTGCATTATTGAAATTTCCACGTATAAACTGTATTGGCATTTCAACAATTTTTTGATGATCTTCTTCTTTCTCCACAATTTCTACATGGTCAGCACTAGGAGGCATAGCTATCTTACCATTCTTCTTGGGGTCAGAGTTCAAACACATACAAGCCTCACTTTGTTTTGCTAGTTGTGTCTTGAAGTAAGTACCCAAACCCCAGATGTAGCTGAAACATAAGATAAACAAAATTAAGCACCTTAAAAATAATGCATGTACTGTACAATGTATAGACCCCCAGGACCTTTGGAACCAAGATGAAACCAGATTTTATGATTTTCCAGTTTCCTGTGACCTAGGTCATTCACATATTATCCTAGGCCTACCAGTAGACTGTGTCAAGTTCTGATTCCACAAGTTCAGTTGAACCTTGTTTATTTCTTATATGACAAGATATAGGAAGCAGTTGTAAGCAAACTTTAATTTAAAATGAAAAGAAATTCAGTCATTATAAACGTTTAGGATTCCTAGGTAGGCCTATACAGTAGTCCCTTACCAACTGTGGAGGTAAGGTTTCTGAAAAACCCCATGGTTGGCAATTCCGCAGTTGGCAAGACTAAAGGCTTATGAGAAACAGGGCCGGATCCAGGCCGATGCAACCAATGCACTTGCCTCGCTCAAAAATTCTGACCGATGCAAAGGTATCATATGCATCAGTCAAATAATTGACTTATCAGTAATGTGATCGCATTGTCAGTCTTGACCTGCATGGCCCACCAGTTTCTGACCATAGCTGTCACTTTCCCTACCCGAGTGGCAGGTTGAGAAACCATTCCCATGAAAGAGATAATCAGAGTGGGGCCTGGGAGTGGGGTAAGGTCTCAGGTAAAGTTACACTCACATCATCTCTGACCCCTTGAGGCATCACTCTATGTGGTGGAGATATATGTAACTTTATTCATTTATTGAAACTCATTTACATGCACACACTGTCCTAAGGGCAAAGCTGTACTGTACATGTAATCAAAATAATGTACAAAATGATTGCTAAAATTTTTGTCTAGTGCAAACTATTGCATGTTTACATTCAAATTAATCACTATCTTATAAGAATTCCAGCAATGTAAATTAAATTCTCCTCGGTCACTTCTATGACATTTATAAGCAAAAAACAAAAACTTAATCTAAAGGACATAAATAAACAAATAAATACAGTGGGGTATGCTATAACGAATCTAATTGGTTCTAGAACCTTGTTCGTTATAGCATTCGTTTGTTATAGGATTAATCCGTTCCAGGCCCCCAAATACAACCACTTAACACTGAAAAATATAATATAAAATTGTAAAAATTGTAAAAAAGTGCATAAATATGCATCTAAACCCCTGAAATAAAGAATATCATTAATATTTGTAATAATAAAACAATAAATTAGAAAAAAAAAAATTTAAATTATGTTCGTTGTAGGAGTTTCGTTCGTTATAGCATTCTCAATTTTATAGGTAAAACCATTCGTTATAGGAATATTCGTAGTAGGATCCGTTCGTTATAGCATACCCCACTGTACTTCACTAGACCTTCGGCACCAACTGTCAAACATGTCACTGTCACTCCTCCCCCCCCGCCCCCCCCCAGCAAGGGTTTGGTGGTTATACAGTAGGCTTTAAGTTTTTATCTTATATAATATCACTGACTAAAGTTAGAAGAAAATAATTTTATTGCTGCAATCCTTGCAAGACAGTGAATAATTTGAATATAAACGTCATGTATTTTGCACAAGAGATAATAATTTTAGTACATTATAGTAATGTAAAGTTTTTCAACTCTATTTTTGGGTACATTTACATAAATTTCTTCATTTATTTTCATTCATTTACATGCACACACCATACTAAAAGAAATGTAAAAGAAAAAATGACCTAAGTGCAAACATGTACTGTATTATAGTGATCCCTCAGTTAACGAGCGCCTCGGTTAACAAGATTTCGGTTAAAGAGTTACCTCCTATAAGATTCTTAACTTCGGTTAATGAGCAATCCCTCGGTTAAAGAGTTTCTTACGAGCCGACCTCAACAAGTTTTCGCTTGCACTTGGCAGTCAACCAGCTGTAGGATTAGTCTGCCAATACAGTAATCGGTTCTAGGGCTTAAATTCCTTACTATTTTAGTAAATATCAAGAAGTTTATACTATTCAATAATTTTAAAAGTTTAATATTAAATTTTTTTGTCATTTTAACAATTATTGAAAATAATTAAAGGTAAAGTGACTAGTTTTATGCACACCATCCAGCCTCTTAACACAGCAAACAAGCATTAGTCTCTTTCTGTTTTCAGTGGAGGTAACATCTTGCTTGAGACTCTCTTCAACTAAACGCTTTTTTTCTGTGTTTCCAAGCAAATTATTGGTCATTTTGAAATTTATTTTACATATTGACAATACTGTCAACCCTCGCTTTACGCGGTCCCACATTCCGCGTTTCCAAGTATACGTTTCCAAGTTTACGTTTACCCTGCCGAAACTTTACGCGGGTGAAGTATAATTTTTTTATTTAGCTCATAAAATTCATACAAATTATCCGGCCAGAATATAATTTACATTCCTGGAATTCTTACAATTTGATGATCATTTTGAATATAAACATCATAGATTTTGCATTAGACATACAAATTTTAGATCTAATGTTTACTCTGAGTAAATATGTTATCTTTTGTGCAAAATATATGACATTTATATTCAAATTATTCCTGGTCTTACAAGGAATCCAGCAATGTCAATTATATTATCCTAACTTTAGTCTGAGGTATTATTTATTACTAAAAAGGTAAATATTCTGGTTTCTCTCACACATTTATCTGGTAGGGAGGGTTGGTGGGGGGTGGGGGGTGGGGGGAGGGAGGGACCGACCGACCATCTGGCACGGTGTGAAGAATATTTTTCTTTTTTATTAACTGAAGATATTTGTTTTAGCTCATAAAATTCATACAAATTACCCAGCCAGAATATAATTTACATTGCTGGAATTCTTACAATTTGATGATCATTTTGAATATAAACATCATAGATTTTTCATTAGACATACAAACTTTAGATCTAATGTTTACTCTGAGTAAATATGTTATCTTTTGCGCAAAATATATGACATTTATATTCAAAATATTCCTGGTCTTACAAGGAATCCAGCAATGTCACTTATATTATCCTAACTTTAGTTTGAGGTATTATTTATTACCATACCTTAAAATCTAGTGGTTTTCCCCCCAAAATTTCTCAGAGAGGGAAGAGCCAAGAGTGTAGTGTGAGAAGAGGGGGAGGGAGTCGAGTCCATTATTTGAATGGACATTAACTTGGCGATTGTATTTCTCTATTTCTCTTAAGTATTAATTGTGTGCATGTACCATCATAAAATTAAGATGTTATTTTTACTAGAACATAGGTATTGTGTCGGAAAAAGTGGAGTTTGGGGGTCAGCCGATCTCTGTTTCATTTAATCCCATATGTTATGTTGTTCACTATACAGGTTGTACCTCTCTAGTCTGGCAACCTCAGGACCTGACCGGTGCCGGACCATGGAAATTCACCCTTTTCCTGGATAGATAGTGACTTGTGCTTATACCTGGAAGCACTAGCACCACTTTCTCTTCGTCATGGTCTCTTTGAAGACATATTGAAGGGTTAAATGTCGTATAGTAGCTTCTCAAATTTCGCGAGTTTTTAATTCTTAATGTATTTTATTGGAACACAAAAAAATAAATAAATAAAAATTTTGACGGCGAAAACTTGAATTTCGACGGGTTTGAACGGCCCGCCAACGTGCAGACGACGTGCATAATCGTGTAAACAGCGTCATTTCTCTTATGTACAAAAGATTCATTATTGTTTATTACTGAATGTCTTTTTTATTGAATTAATGTTTATGTGTGCAAAATGAGCAACACAATTCATTAATAATACGTAGAATGTTAAAACACACGAGGAAATGACACAGCATTGTTTTCGTTGATTACAAAACCAGTGATTGACTGGTTCTACATATAAAACTGAAGAAAATAAGACTTTGGTTGTAGCTGTAGTAAAATTAATATGGTTGTTTTAAGTAACGTTATTTAATGTTAATAAATGGAACAATAGAAGTAGCGAACGATAATGGTAAAGAAAAAGAGAGATCGCATATGTAAGTGCGCATGCGCACACGTGAAAACATATCGTCATTACTTTACATAAGAATATGAAAGCAACACTTATTTACTGTTCATATATATTTTAATTAATGTTTCTGAATTTGTTTTTATTGAATTAATGTACGTGTATGCAAAATTAACAATACAATTTATTAATAATACGTGGAATATTAGAGGAGACAAGACGGCTGCCGGCATTGTTTATGTTAAAGCTTACGAAACCAGTGACTGATTGGTTCTACATATAAAACTGAAGAAAATAAGACCCTGAGTTTAGCTGTAGTAAAATTAATGTAAAAAATGAATATGGTTGCTTGAAGTACCTGTAATGTTATTTAATGTTAATAAAAAAAAAATTAGAGACTGCTCGTATGTAAGTCGCACATGTGAAAATATATAGTCATTACTCTACATAAGAATAAGAAAGCAACCTTATTTACTGCTCACTTATATATTGGGGTTAAATCATTGTACTCTGTATAGACAAGCAGAGAGAGAGAGCAGCCGAACTGCGGGATGTAAACAAACCTTAATTTCCTTGGCTTTTTTTTAAGGATTAGCCCACCGGACATAGGTCACTAACCCATTGGGGCCTGAGGGCAAAATTTAATACTCCTGTAATAATAATACTAATTCAGATAAATGAAAAAAAAAAACTGCCTATCTACCTATTGGACAAACTAAAATGGATTTCAGGACCCAGGAGTTTCGGACCACAGAATCCCGGACTAGAGAGGTACAACCTGTCTGGCGTTTCTCACTCTCCATGGGTACCCTGTGGAGTTGAATTAACCGCGTAAAGTGAGGAGTTCACTGTATATAGTGCAGTGCAGTGTTATTTTAAAAGAAAATATTCTTTATTTACAGCAAGTTTATACCTAAAAGATCGTAAAAAATATTTGACATTGTTTGAATCAGCATGGAATTTTCAAGAGATCCAAGAAAAGCGATTTCAATCCAAACCAAGCAGAAATTATAAGAAAAGAAACATAGACAAGGCAGTAGAACAAATGCGCTATGCAAAGAATATGGCATTTCGACATCAACTGTATCGACAATTCTTGCACAGAAAGACAAATTTAAAGAAGTGAAAGTGAGAGACAAATCTACAAGAGTGTTTAAAAGTAGATCCCAAATTGCAGAAACTGAGAGGTTACTTATCATCTGGATTAGGGAAAAACAGATGAAAGGTGATTCAGTTTCTGGTGATTTCATTTGTGAAAGACCCAGGGAGATTTATGAACATTTAAAGGCAGATCAACCTGGTTCTTCAGGCACAGAATTTGAAGATTTTCGGGCCAGCAAGGGCTGGTTCGAAAAATTTAAGAAAAGAAGTGACATTTTCAGTGTTGTTAGGCATGGTGAAGCTGCTAGTGCTGATAAGGAAGGGGCAGCAAAGTTTTTAGTTGAATTTAAAAAACTGATGGAAGAAGAAAATTATCTTCCACAGCAAGTGTTCAATGTGGACGAAACTGGGCTGTTCTGGAAAAAGATGCCCAAAAGAACATTCATCACCAAAGATGAAGCCTCTTTACCTGGGCATAAACCCATGAAAGACCGTCTCACTCTATTGCTTGGTGCCAATGCTTCAGGGGATTTCCGACTGAAGCCTATGCTTGTCTACCACTCTGAAAACCCCAGGGTGTTCTAGCAACAGAAAGTGGTAAGAACAAAGCTTGGAGTTTATTGGAAGTCCAACCGTAAGGCATGGGTGACAAGACAGCTCTTTAATGAATGAGCTGTTGATGTGTTTTGCCCTTCTCTCAAGAGCTACCGAACCACCAATAAACTCCCTTTAAAGGCTCTTCTCATGGATAATGCTCATGGTCATGGCCTGACCTTGTCAGAACTTTGGAGTATTAATTTGACTTTGTGAAAATGATGTTTTTGCTTCCCAACACTACATCAATCATACATGAAGAAAATGTTTAGGTGTCATCAGGCAGCTTCCAATGATCCTGAACTAACACTGAACAGTTCTGGAAGACACAATTCAACATCCTGGGGGCTGTAAAATTATTGTGTCATCATGGCAAGAAGTCTCCACTAGATCCCTGAATTCTTCATGGAAAGCACTGTGGCCATCAGTAGTCCATGATATTGAGGGATTTCAGGATGACACAGAGTTGGACCAGGAGATTGTGTCCATTGGTCAGTCACTGGGCCTTGAAGTGGAGGAGGATGATGTCGAAGAGCTTGTGATGTCTCATGAGGAGAAACTTACTCCTGATGACTTGAAGCAACTGGATGAGATGTTAGAGGCTGACAGTGGTGAGGAGAAAATTGAAAGTGATGACCATATGTCAACTAAAGAGTTGAAAGATGTGATTTACCACTGGGAGAAGTTCAGGGAACTGGCTTCAAAGCACCCAGATGTGGAAAAAACTGAACTAACTTTGTGTCATGTTGAGGACTCAATGGTCTCCTTCTTTAAACATAAGTTAATGGTGAGGAGGAGAGATGCCCCACAGACCACAATTGACACTTTCTTCAGTAAAAGGCAGAGGGAACAAGATGCTATCCCTTAGCCTTCCACTTCAAAAAGGAGAGAGGATGATGCTAGCCCTCAGTCTTCCACTTCAAGAAGGAGAGAGGATGTTCATGGTGGAGAATCTGTCAGTCCAGAGGTTCCTGACATTTTCATGGAAGGTGACTCACCTTCCAAGAAGCAGTAAAATGCTTCTCCTCCACCTCCACTTCCTTCTCTTCTCCCTTCTCCTCCTACACCTCCCACTTCGAATGCACATCATCATCATCATCCAGGAGCCTTCTACATACACACCTCAAGGTAAGTGTCCATTTCTAAAATTTTTGTTGAATTTAGGCAATTTTCAGTGAGCTGGAACCAATTACCCAAAAACCCATTGAAACAATGGTTTCGGTTAACGAGATTTTCGGTTAACGAGCAACCTGCTGGAACGGATTGTGCTCGTTAACCGAGGGACCACTGTATGTACTAAATGATTACGGTATTAAAATTTTTATGTCAAGTGTTAATTATAGCTTGTTTATTATCAAATTAATCGCTATCTTATAAGAATCCCAGCAATGTAAATTATATTCTCCCAGGTCATTTCAGTGGCATTTTATAAGAGAGAAGCTTAGTCACTTAAGGACTGAAGAATAAACACACATTAGACCTTGGACGCCAACTGTCAAACATATCACCTCACCTCACCTCCCCCCCCACCCTCCCTCCCTCCCTCTCCCCCATCTGTCCAGCCAGGGTTTTAGGCTTGACGTTTTTATCTTATATAATATCTCAGACTAAAGTTAGGAGCATATAATTTGCATTGCTGGAATCTTGCAAGACAGCGAATAATTTGAATATAAATGTCATATATTTTACCCAGAAAAATTCTGTAGATGTGCAATTTTTTTCCTGGAATAAGAGGATTTGTCTCAATATAATCCCTGGAAATCTCTCATACCCAGCTAACAGGGATATTACTGTATATGCTATGTAGATAATTCTTTACCTTATTTCCTGTAGAGTCTGTGTTTCTAGGAATGCCTTGCCTCGAGGAGTATCCTGAAGCTCCCGCAGCATGTTTTGAAGAGTGTATTTACTATATGTGAATGGGTTCTCATAATCTATGCAATACCTTAGGTAGGCATCAGCCTGAAACAGAAAAAATGACAAATTAGTATTTTTACCATTATTTCAAACACTCCTGTTAGTACACAACCCTGTTAATGCAACTCAGTTTATTTTTTATTGTTCTAAATCTTCTGGTTGGGTTGAGTTTGTTAATCTAATTTATTTTTATTTTTTTATGCAGGAACATTTAGGGGAGATTCATGGCAAATATCCTCTCTAATGTTTCCTTACGTTAACAAAAAAGAGAACTCCAGTAAAATACCAGTTACCCGACACCTACGGAGACTAAAAGGTGCCAGATAAAGAATTTTTCCAGCTACAAGTAGTTGAAACTCACTCTTATGATCCCCCAATAAATCCTTCAATGCACAGTGGTACAAGCTATAAACTACGTGGATGTCTCGCCTGCCCACCTGCTACACACACAGACAGTTCCCGAGTTACATACAAGTACCATTCCCACAGACATTCTTAAGTCGAAAATGTACACAAATCGAAACATGTACCCAATGTGCATAATGTACTACTTACAGAACAATGTTTAAGATCCAACTATATCATAGCCTAAGTCCTTATATACACCTAAATCACTTAATTTAAGAGAAAAGAAGAAATAGTATGGCAAAATACAGTAAATGAAAGTAAAAAAATAAGACATCAGGTAAGGGTACAGTAGGTCCTTCAAATTCACTGGGCTTAGATTCTCAAAATGGCGGCGAATCGTCAAATCCATGAATAATATATGCTGACCAGGGGTGGGGACTTTTACTTGTGTACAAAGAAACGAAGAGCAGTGATCCTCGGTTAACGAAATTTCGGTTAACGACTTCCATAAAATTTAACTCGGTTAACAAGCAACCCTCAATTAACGAGCTTTTTACGGCCGACTTCAGCATAGTTTTCGCTATTTGGCGTCCACCAGCTGTAGTATTCGCCAATACAGTAATCGGTTTTAGGCTTAAATTCTTACTATTTTAGTAAATATCAAGAAGTTTATACTATTCAATAATTTAAAGTTTAATATTAACTTTTAGTCATTTTAACAATTATTGAACATAATTGAAGGTAAAGAAACTAGTTTCTGGCTGCCATCCAGCCTGTTAACACACCAGACAGGCGTATTCTCTCTGTTTTCAGTGGAGGTAACATCTTGCTTGAGACTTCTTCCAAAAACACTTTTTTCTTTGTGTTTCCAAGCAAATTATTGGTCATTTTGAAATATATTTTACATATTGACAATATATAATGCAGTGCAGTGTTGATTTAAAAGAAAATAATCTTGAATACACCAAGAGAACTAAAATTTTGATGAAATGGTGCCAAGTGACTTCTCTTCCACCCCAATGCCTTTTCTTCTTCCTTCTCCTCCACCCCCATTCTAATTCCCATCATCATCATCATCATCATCATCATCATCCAGGAGCCTACATACACACCTCAAAGTAAGTGAACTTTTCTACCATTTTTGTTGAATTTAGGAAATTGGTGAGCTGGAACCACTACCAAAAACCCATTGAAACAATGGATTGAGTTCGTTAACCGAGGATCATTGTATAATATATATATATATATATATATATATATATATATATATATATATATATATATATATATATATATATATATATATATATATATATATATATATATATATATATATATATATTATATATATATATATATATATATATATATATATATATATATATATATATATATATATATATATATATATATATATATATATATATATATATATATATATATATATATATATATATATATATATATATATATATATATATATGTTGTGTTGTCAAAGTAAGAGGAACAATTAAAACTGCAATTGTGTAAATGAGGCAGAAAGTCAGGTCACAACCTGGGACTTGGTCACAATTTATGCTATATAGCAAGTAGGGTTCACTATTAGACAACACATTATGCTTCCAATATATCTTCCCATAGTAGTATTCTCCCTGTTTGGTAGCTGCTTTACTACTCACACAATTTTTAGTAATATTAATTTGATACATGATAAATTGACTAAACTGAAAATAAACATCAAATTTAATTACCAACACGCTCCCATTGGCAATGTAAGAGGGGAGATTGGCTATTTTTATCCTATCTTTGTGTCTGAAGTGGCCAGTAATACCATATATTTACTAATCATAATGCTTTTCTCCCATAAATAATTAATTTAAAATTTATTTTTTTTTGCTATTGAATATTCAGTAAATGACTTTTAATTCTTTTTTAACTAACACAGTGGTAAATTTAGGATGACAATGATGAAGAAGAAGTCAGGTCATCTGATTCGGAGTTTGATTCTTAATGATTACCATATATGTGTAAGGTGACCACGCTTGTAACATGTTATCTATCCCCAAAGGATACCCCTCTTCATTTGCTCAAGTCCAGTTGTTGAGTTATCACCCATAAGCAATAGCACTTTCTCCGTGAACACTACAGCATATTAATACTCGTATCCAGCCACCATAAACCTCACCATGGCTCCAATTGTTGCAAACGCGAGGAGATATGAAGCTTGTTTTGCTGAAAGTGATAGTATTATGCCCAGTCACACAACAATTGTGCTGCTTCAAGAGAATACGGTGTAACTGAGAAGATGGTGCGATTGGAGATCAAAGGAACACTTACTACTTAAGTATGCCCAGGAATAAATGTACAATGAGAAGAGTCGCACTGCACACTGGCCTATTCTAGAGAAGCATTAGTAGACATGGTCCACAGAGCAGCTACTAAAACAAGTATATATTGTATCAAGAAACATGATACGATTTGGGCACTTAAGTGGGCTAAACAAAATCAAGAGCACAGCAAAGATTTCAAAGCCAATGGCTTTATGGTGTAGCCGCTTTTATGGAAAGAAGCAATCTGGTACTGAGGCAGAAGACAAAATAGCACAAAAATTACCAGCAATATCTTAACTGTAAATTGTTAATTTCCATCACATAATACAACAACGAAGAAACATATCCATTACAACACGGGAACATGGATGAAACACCTATGAACTTCAACATGGTCGCAATCATACTGTTGATAAATAAAGTGGCAAAATGAAAAGTGTTAGTGGAAAAACAGCAGGACACTTAAAAATAATTAATTTAACATTCATTTTTGTACATAGTATATTCAGTACATGACTCGATTATAAAATAGTGTGAATAGTACAGTATTACCCCTTCTTGGCGGTTTTTTCACTCTTAGCGTTTTATCATATACGATTGCTTCCTCGCCAGAATGAACTTTTCATAACACGGATTTTTCCACATATACGGCGATGAGTGTCAGCTAAGACGCTATTTTTTAGATTTGCCCCACCCGCCACCCTGCCTGACTGCCTGTTTAGCTCATAAAATTCTACAAATACCCGGCCAGAATATAATTTACATTGCTGGAATTCTTATAATTTGGTGATCATTTTGAATATAAACATCATATATTTTGCATTAAACATACAATTTTAGATAAAATTTTTTTCTCTAGGTAACTATGTTATCTTTTGTGCAAAATATATGACATTTATATTCAAAATATTCCTGGTCTTACAAAGAGAATCCAGCAATGTCAATTATATTATCTAACTTTAATCTGAGGTATTATTTAATACTAAATGTTAAAACTCTGGAAAGGAGGATTGGTGGGGGTGGGAAGGGTTGGAAGAGGCAAGGGGTAGCACGATTGATGAATAGTGTAGTGAAGATTATTTTTTTTTATTAACTGAAGATATTTGTTTTAGCTCATAAAATTCTACAAATTACCGGTCAGAATATAATTTACATTGCTGGAATTCTTATAATTTGGTGATCATTTGAATATAAACATCATATATTTTGCATTAAACATACAATTTTTAGATAAAAATTTTCTCTAGGTAACTATGTTATCTTTTGTGCCAAATATATGACATTTATATTCAAAATATTCCTGGTCTTACAAAGGAATCAGCAATGTCAATTGTATTATCCTAACTTTAGTTTGAGGTATTATTTATTAAAATTTAGTGGTTTCCCCAAAAATTTCTCTGAGAGGGAAGAGCCGGCAGTGTAGTGTGAGAGAATTGAGTCCATTATTTGAATGGACATTAGCAGCGACTGTATTTCTATTTCTCTTAAGTATTAATTGTGTGCATGTACCATCATAAAATTAAGATGTTATTTTTACTACATACAGTTATATGTCGTCAAAAGTGGAGTTTGAGGTCGGGCGGTTTCTATTGGAATTAATCCCATATGTTCTGTTGTTCACTTAACCTGAGTTCATAGCGGGACCCTCTGGGTTCTATTGACGCGTTAAGTAGATTACAACTAATATGTTAAAAAAAAAAAAAAAAATATATAGGCCTATATATATACAGTAATACCCGCTTAACACGGTTTCGCTTAGGCCGATTTCACGTATCTGGCGATTGCCTCATGAAACTGAACTTTCACTAGCGGGTTTTTCCCGCATTATCGGGCAGAGTGTCGGCTCGAGCTATTTTTAGATTCGCCCACCCCCACGCCACCCTGCCTGACTGCCTGCCTGCCTGTTTCAGCTCATAAAATTCATACAAACTACCCGGCAGAATATAATTTACATTGCTGGAATTCTTACAATATGATGATCATTTTGAATATAAACATCATAGATTTTGCATTAGACATACAAATTTTAGATATAATGTTTACTCTGAGTAAATATGTTATTTTTTGTGCAAAATATATGACATTTATTCAAAATATTCCTAGTCTTACAGGAATCCAGCAATGTCATTATATTATCCTAACTTTAGTTGGAGGTATTATTTATTACTAAAAGGTAAATATTCTGGTTTCCCACATCTGGTAGGGACGGTTGGTGGGGGTGGGGGGAGGAGGACGATCGACCATCTGTTAGCGTGTGAAGAATATATTTTTTATTAACTGAAGATATTTGTTTTAGCTCATAAAATTCATACAAATTACCGATCAGAATATAATTTACATTGCTGGAATTCTTATAATTTGATGGTC